GTAGGCTCGCCTGTGTCCCTGCCCCTCGTGAGACTGCACGGTGCTGGGGTGGGGGGTGGGTGCGCTGGTGAAGAAGGGAAGATGACACAGCCCCTCAGAGTGAAGATTGAAGAAGCCTGAAGGAGAAGCGGGGCTGTGTCTGAGCCTGACTTTCCGTCCTTGGGCTGATAAGTGGCTGAGTTGGGTTGGCAGCTCTCTACCACCCCAGGTAAACTCCAGGAAACAATAAGCCATTGTTTCTCATCCAGAGCTGGGGGCTCCTGGAGACAGGACCTCCTGTCACAGGAGGGCAGGTGAGGGCAAGGGGTGAACTTCATGTGGAAGCACAGGGCTTGTCACACTGCCAAGGTGTCCTCTGGGCAGTTCCGATGCAACAGCCAAGGCCAACGTCTGGGGCTGTGCCTAGCCAGTGGCAGGAGAACTGAGGAGAGTCTGGAGAAGAGCTGCATGCTCTGGGGGAGAACACAGAGATGTCTGGCCTGTGAATGGGAAGAGAGAACATCTCTGTGCATGGGGCGAGGTGTTCCTACTGATGTTGGCGTGGGTCCTTCATAAACTAGCTGAAGATTACTCAGTAAGCTTGGTCTCTCCCTCAGGCATGAGGGGTTGAAAAGAAGCCATCCTTTTGTTTGGGACAAATAATAAGGGGCTTTCCCTGGGCAAGGGCCTGACTACATTAGTCAAATTTGTACCCGTCAGATATCATTCCAATTAAATCTAAAGGAATATCAACACAGGTGCTATACTGAAAATTTCCTGTTGGGCATGGTGTTTATTATGATAAGATCGAAAATATCTTGCTAAATTCTCCTGGAAGATATTATTGAATTGAGCCAGGATTTGGAGTGAGGAGGACTGGACTCTAGTTCTGCCTTATTAGCTATGTGACTTTGCAAGTCACTTGGTCTTTGAGCCTCAGATTTTCCATCAATAAAATGGATCTCAGTATGTTGTGAAATTCAAATGAGATTTTGATTGGGAAAGCATCTCATAAGTTATCAGTATGTGGAAGTTTATTGTAAATTGAAAGTCTTTTGGTAGTATTATTTAAGAGCATTACTACTTTCTAGGCCTTCTGCAATCTACTCTCAGTTTAATGACTGTATCCTTCAGAACCTCTCTTGACCCATCCATTTGCCAGGTCAGTTTCCTTGCTCTGAGACATGCTCCACCATCTCCCCTGCCCAGCTCAGCTGTCTACCACAGGATTCACTTGTTTAGATGGTCATGGTTCATTCTCTCTGCCTTGAAAATTTCAGAGATCTCTGACCTCCTGTCTGTGAGGATACATAGGTCTATTTTGTATCCTGGGCCTGTTTCCTCATCTGTAAAGTAAGAGGATTGGCCTAGATGATTCCCTACCAATCCTCACCTTTTGTGATCCAACCGCATTCCACTATGTAAAAAGGAAACAGAAATTGGAATAAGAGCAATGCATCTTGTCTAGCCAATGACACATAACTGATAAAAAGACATCAGTGTAAGAGTGTGAATTAGTAAATTACTCTCTGTGATAGATAAGGTGATGTTTTCAGCAATATTTCAATGAGCTTGAATGTTTAAGTGATAAGTGAAACCTCTCATTGCTCCTCAGAGGTGACTGTTACCAGAAAGCTACCATTTGCTGTGTGCTCACTGTGTTCCAGGCATGGTTAGAAATGGCATTATAGTTACCTTGTGTTGGGTATTCTAAGTATCTACTTTGTGTTAGATACTTGACCTTCCCTCTAATCTCCACAGAGCCCCACAAAACAGATATACAGATGGGAAAATTGAAGTTTAGAGAGATTAAGTAAATCACCCATAGTGATCCAACTATTAAGTGGCAGAAGTAGGTTCAAGTGCAGTATGTCTGACTATACAGCCTATGATGAGATGGCTCACTCAAGTCCACTAGCTGGCATCACCTACTAGCTCACTCGTAGATCGTCACTTTCTTGTTCCTGGTGTCCCAGGACTAGCGATTACCCCAGCAGTGTTCTTGATACAGTTCTGGGCTTGACCTCAGAGTAGGAACTGATCATTGGAAAACCCCACCTGGATATAGCACCCTCCCTTCTCTAGCATGTTGGAGACAACCAGTCTTGGCTCCTTCCTACTTCCCTTTCTGTATGCACCTGCCCCCTGACTCAGTGCTAACCAAGAGTGGGAGGGAAACTAGAAATCCATAACACTGTTGACTGGGTGGGCCAGTGGCTAAAGCCAGAGGCAGGTTTTGTCTGTGGGAGTAATTAGAAAACAATTAGAAAAAAATTAGAAAGCAATTGCAAATTCGAATATCACATCCAGAGCCTATAGGAGTTGGTGAAGCAGGTCAGCTTGTCTCATTCTCTTGCGCTCTGTCAGGGTTTGCAAAAGAAGAATCCCCATGCTGCTCAGTAAGGGAAGCTTGGGAGAACTGGGGATGTGCTCAAGCCAGTGGGGTGCTGCCAACTGCTCAGGCCTCAGGAGGTTCTGTAGGAGCTACGGACAATTGTGGCTAGAGACAGTTTTTGGACTCAGCCCTGGTTCTTATCAGCGACCACATCTCTGCAGCCCCTCCTGTCAACAGTGCTTCCCACTCCCCCTCTCCTTGGAAGACACTGTTTCGTTAATTTTGCTGTTAATATTTGCTGCTCTGCTAAGGGAAGGCACCATAAGTACTTATTCTACTCCTGACACTTAGTAAGTGCTCATTAAATAGATTCCTTTTTTTCCTTGGGATTTCCCTTTAGCTCTTTCAGTCCCTATGACATCTGGACAGATGTCATAGAATCAGAAGCTGGACCTGGGAGGGGCCAGAGGCTGAAAAGCTAAGTGCATACACATTCGTTCCTAACATGGGTCAAGTCTTCAGGGTCTTCATGGTCTGTGCCCATGTCCCACAGGGACATGTCACCTGAGGACCAGGTGAAGGTGAAAGGAGCTCAGTCGTGTCTGACTGTTGCCATCCCATGGACTATACAGTCCATGGAATTCTCCAGGCCAGAATACTGGAGTGGGTTGCCGTTCCCTTCTCCAGGGGATCTTCCCAACCCAGGGACCAAAACCCAGGTCTCTTGCATTGCAGGCAGATTCTTTACCAGCTGAGCCATCAGGGAAGCCCCTGTCTAATTCAACTGCCAGCCTGTGAAGCCCTGTGTGGCGGGTCTGGAACAGTAGCCTCTCCTTTCTCCTCTCCTGGTGCCCTGAAACATCTTTTTCTGCTCTGGGCTTGGCTCCCCCTACTGGAACCTTTCCTACCTGCCCAGGTGTCCTAGAAGAGCCTGCAACAGTCCGAGAGACACCGGTGCACTAGGACAGGTGCACTAGATGCCCTTCAGGTCATAGCGAGAGAGAATAACCAGAGATGGGAAGTGAGTTTCTTAAGGTCACACAGCTGATTAGGGTGCATCCACAGTGAGCACCAGAACCTCTGATTCTCCTGAGCTATTTAACTGTCAGATGCTGCCTGCCAATTTCTCCTGAACTGGCCCGCTCCTTGGCCAACGCTGCTTCTATCCTCTGAGTTTTGTCATAAATCTTAAAACAACAACAACACTGCCATTAACAATAGCCACCTCTATGGACTGAGCACTTATCACGTGCCAGAGACTGGGCCAGGCTGTTCTTATATGCATGTTTGACCCTCATAGCAATCCTGCAGGTATGAGAGTACTGGTAGTAGCTCCATTATACAGATGAGTAAACGAAGACTGAGGTTGTCCCTTTCCTCAGGCCACACAGTTTCACAGTGGAGAACGCATGTCTGACTACATAGCAGTCTGGTCCCTGCTAAGGGGCATCCTGTGGGTGGGAGCATGAGCACTGTTCCTCCTCCCCAGGTGGATTTCCTGCATTCCTGCAGACTGAGGTAAGGCTGCCTGAGTCCTCACAGTGCTCATCTCACAGGCACTTGAGTGGGGCTTAGCAGGATAGAGTGGGGAGGCTAGGTCTTTGAGAAGGGGATGGTTGAATAAACTAGCCTGTGACCCCAAACTGACTTCTGCAGGGATGATACTGGTAATGAGCTGAGTGAACTTTAGGATGTTGCTAGACTGTGATAGGAATGCACACATTGCTAATTTAATTATAGTCAGGGGCTCTGGCTCAGGCTTTGATTTCTTTTTGCATGTGACTTTTACTGCAGAAAGCTTCTCTCAGCTGGTCTCATTAAATCTCAAATTAAGCAAGAATCCCAACAGGAAGAGAGCAGCTCCAGGAAACCAGACCTCACTCGTTCACACTGTGCATTCAGTTGGCTGTGTTTATTTGGTTTGATCCCCTTTCAAGAAAATTAAAAAATAACATTCTGCCAAAGACGTGGGCACTCAGGATAGAGTTGCTGAGTGGATACTCTCCTCGTGCCCTTGGTCTGCTGCTCTGCTCATGTGGCTGGGCTGGTGAGAGCAGCTCCTCTGCCTGCAGAAGCCAGCCCTCCTTTATTGCGTCTTTCAAGAAGAAAGGCCCAGGACATTCTTGGGGAGGGAGGGGCTTCAGTGGGTTCAGAGAAGAGCTCAATTGTGGTGGAGTTGGGGGAGGAGTGGGCTGGCTTTGCCTGATTTCCCTTAGGAACCCAGGAACCCATCAGAGTCTTTCAAGGATGCCAGCAGGAAGCCCAGAGAGTGTACCCAGGGCTTGGTGTAATTGTGCTCACTTCATACCCAGCAAGCCTGAGAAGCTAAGCGGAGAAAGGATGTACGACTTCCATGCCAGGACTAAAGCCAGGACTGGCACCTGTGTGTCTGGAACCAAATGCCAGTAGGCCCCAGGGGATATATATATATTTTTTAATTGTTGTGGCCTGTTCACCCACTCCTTTCCCTACATCCTTTCTCTCACATTCACATGTTCGCTCCACAGCAAAATTGAGTAGTGCCTTAGTTTGGAAGTGATGGTTTTTAAGTGCTTTTTTTTTCAGCCCAACTTTCAATTTATTCATGTCACAAGCACTTGTTGAGAGCTTACTGTGTGCTCATCTGTATTCTAGGCGTTAGGGATACAATTGTGAATGAAACACACAGAACCCATGACACATTGCAGGAGCTTGTGTTCCAGTGGGGAAGACAGATGTTCATCAAAGAACCACATGGCTACATGGGGGCCAACTATGATGTGAGTGATAGATACACTTTCCACGATTTTGCCCAAATTACCATCCTTGGTTCTGTCCAGTTCAAAATAACTTTCCAGCCCTGTTGCCTTCCAAGAGACCTCTGTCTAGGAGACCTAGATGTCGATTCACCTCTGTTCCTCAGTGGTGAATAGCAAGTTTTTTTTTTTTTTTAATTCAATTTCTTCCTTTATTATCCATAAAATACTTGAATAACTGGCATGTGCAAGGTCTAAGGTCTTCCAGAGTCTGGGGTGCATATTCAGTCTTGACCAAGAATTCAGTTGACTTGAAGGTGTTACCTTCATCTGTCTCTGTCTTCAAATCTCTCTGGTCCACATGTGTTTAGCCTTTCTCCTTGGGAAAAAAAAGATGGAATAAAATTAGGTATTGATTCACCTTCTTTCCCATCTGCCCTCAAAGCCACACACCAATACTGCTATAAAACCTCTTTTCCCTTTTCACTTGTGTGCTTTTCAGAGGACAGAAGAGGAGATGGTGACAGGGGAGGTGGGGGTGTACAGGGGAGAGGCTACAGCAACAGTTCTCAAAGTGGGCCTTGCAGACTTTGGGGGCCCATGAGGTTCTTTCATGGGCCCAGGAGGCCCAAATGGTTTTTTATAATAAGATGTCATTTGCTTTTTTCACTCTCCTTATGTCTCAAGTGACATTTTCCAGCGGTTGCAAAGAGTGTGATGTTATAACCAGCTGGATACAGAAGCAGACATGAAAGCCTGTCTTCTATTAAAGAAATAGAAATTAAATACAAATTAAAGGAATTTGCAACAATGAACAACTCTTCTTACTAAACTTTTTCTTGGTTTTATTTTGGAAAATATATTTTTCTTTAAAAATTCTTATCTATGTTAATATAATGAGATCATTATTAATGTTTTTGAATGAATTAGTATTTCTTTAGTTTTAATTGATACAGTAAATATGTAATACAGTTACTATTGATAGCAGCACATAAGTTCTTTGGGATCTTCAATAATTTTAGGAGCATGAAGGACCCTGAGACCAAAATGTTTGAGAACTGCTGAGCTAGAGGCTAAGAAGTCAGCTAGGTGTTAGGAGAAGACCAGTTACTCAGGAATCGGACATGAGCCAGTAGAACAGCTTGTGTGCATGCTAAGTTGTTTCAGTCATGTCCGACTCTGTGTGATCCCAATGACTGTAGCATGCCAGGTTCCTCTAATTCCAAATCCTTATTTCTGATTTGGACATCTGCATTCTGTCCCAAGGTGTGAGTTGTATAGCATGAGAGATTCCTTTGGAACTATGGAAATACATTCTCTCCTCCAGAGGAGAGGGACTGGTCTGGACATCACCTTGTTACCATGCTTTAGAAGTATGCACCAGGGACCAATTCTGAAGCTCTCCAGGGGTCAGGACCAGCACTGCTAGATCTTCTTCTCAACATGAGCACAATCTGTGGAGTGTGGTTCAATTCTCGGCCCAGATTCCTTAAGATGATTGCAACACAGGAGTCCCCTGTCCATCTGCTCTCTGGGCTTGCTCCCACTCCAGGGATCATAAACCAGGCTTCTTCAATTCAAGGAGGAGGGAGCTGGGTCTCAGGAGGCAAGGGTCCCACCAGTCCTGGGTGGTAATCCTAGACCAGATGTGTCTAGAGCTGGGTTGTATTCCAGGCCAGATGTGGAGTTGGGGGTGGGCCCAGCCCTGCCAAGGATTCAGATCTTGGCTTGACAGCGTCCTCCGTTTGCTCCACACTTGGAGTGGAACGTGCAGCTCTGAACAAGTCAAAACCTGTGAGCTTCGACTCTTGGTTTCCCCAGGACTCCACTCAGAGCCTCTGCAGCTGGCAGCCAGGGGTTTCAAAGGTCACCCCAGCTGGGCGGATTGAAAGAGCAGATCTCTCTGACCGAGTGAAATTGGCTGCCCAGTACAAGGCAAGTTGCAACATCTGCGAGCAGTCAGCAAAACGCCCCTTAACTTTTCAGCCTGGCCCTGCGCTCTGCGGCAGCCCTGGCTCTCCCTCACTGTCCTCCTTCTCAGACAGACCTTGGACAGGCATCTCGGCGGTACAGTGGTGAAGTGGCCACCCACACGTCCCAACTCATGGGAGAGCTGCCCAGGGAGAGGCCACGGTAAGGCGCGTCCATCCTCTGGCGTGTGGCCCTGTCCCACTGCCTGCTCCTGTGGGTCACGGCAAGTCAGCAGGCTCAGCCCACAGCAGAGAAGCAGCTCGTTCCAGGATTAAGAGCGATTAGGGCATTTGTCGGGATTTGAGGGCTCTGAAGAGAGAGGATTAAGGTGGAGAGAGGGAGGTGTCGTTGCTGGGGGCATTTGCACCTGGGTGGTTTGCTGTGTCTGCTGTGTGCCCGTGGCTCCGTGGGTTCATAGCCGACGGCCAGGCTGCCAGCACAGAGCCCGCTGGGAGCCCTTCCCTGTGGGGAAGGTAGGGTATTTCCAGATGCCTTGCTGCCGGATCAGGTGCTTAAGGACAATGATCATTTGAAATGTGTGCACTTTGGATGGGGAAGGGGGCAGCTGGTTTCTCTAAACTTCTGCTGTATAACATGATTCTTGATTTAAAACTTTTCTCTGAGTCTTTGTGCCTCAGTCTTTTTGCCCTCTCTTTTGTCCATCGTTCCATAGTTGAAAGTGTTCCTTTCTGGGTTCAAGAGACAATTTGAAGTGCTTTTGATCAAATTAAAGTCAAATTAATTTAGTGCTGCTTTGAATGATGAACAAACTCTGCTACTTATGAAAACCCTATTTGGAGGTGAGCTTTGGCCCACGCCTTGTGTGTGTGTGACAGGGTGTGGCTTCCAGCTCTCAGACCACTGCTCTTCCGATCCCCTCTTCTTTTTTTTTCTCTTCTTACTTCTATTGTTTTGATCTGCATTTAACTGGTGTTGAATGGAACCCCCTAGCTAGGTGTATTCAATTCTAGCCACTGAGTCCTGCTCTGCCGGTAGAGAAATTATTGCAGAAACCACCCAGCCCTGCTGGTGCTCTTGAGTGGAATGTGGTCCCTAGGCTGAATGAGGGATTAGAAGGGAACAAGGATGTTTTGTATTATTATTATTCTGATTGAGCATTCCACATATGTCAGTAATCATTCACTGGCAGTATGGACAGGATCTGTTTATGTGGCTGATGGCAGTGGGTGGAGTGATAGGCTGAGCAGAGCTGCTTGGTATACCTGACCAGCTTGGGAGTGGGCTCTAGTTAATAACCAGCCTGCTCACCCACCCTCACCCCTCACAGTGCACTTGATGCACTGACTTACCTGTTCTAACCTGAAGCCAGACTTTCCTACCTGGCCAGGGAAGGATGAATTCTGTCTTCTGTGTTTGAGGCTGAGCATGTTCCTTTTGTTGATAGCATCCAAGACCTTCAAGAGATCTCTGAAGGTCAGAATCAAGAGGATTAATAGAGAGGATTCTGAGCCTGATGTCACTACTCTTAGTTTCCAGCTCCCTTGAAAGCAGAGAGGAAGAGTCTTGTGTCTTCCAAAGCCAGAACTGAGAGCAGAAGGGAGTGTAACACTCCCCCTCCCCCTTCCTTTGTGCAGTTCCCAAGCCTCTGCCTATCGAATGTCCCATTACTGGGGAAAGCAGGAAATGCCTCCTCGGAGTCTGGGGCCCTCCAGGAAGCCCACCGGGTATGGCTGTGATCAGAATTCAGTTTGGTTTCCACTTCTTAGCTCTGTGACCTTGGATTACATGGAGTTGACTTTCTGAGCCCTGGTGTCCTTGTTTGTGAAAGGAGAATAATCAGAACTGCCTTGTAGGACCAGGGATTGAGTGAGATTAGGGTCCAGCATGATGCTGGGTGCACGTACCCTGCCTCTTCACTGCTGGGACAGATAGAACAGTATGCAGGGGCTGCCAGGGCCCCCAGTCCCTCCTACCCACCTTCTCATGGTCTGCCATCTGCTTCCCACTGCTGTTATACAATAACCGCGTGCAGATACCCTTGCTCTGAGGATAATCAGGCTGACCTGGGCTTGCCGTCCTTGGTGGAAAGGATCTGTCCTACAGGCTGGGAGACTTGCTTTCCCTTTGGGAGCTGGATGATGATATTGACAGCTAGCATTTACTAAGTGCCTCTTATGCTGCCCTGAGTGTTTTATATACACTCTCATTCAAATCCTCCCCTCAACCTTGCAAAGTTATTATCATTCCCGTTTTACCAAAAGGGAAACTGAGGCCAGGAGAGTTGAAATACCTTGCTCAGGCCACAGCTGAAAAGTGTCAGTGCCCTGGATTTGTGGCTGGGTAGGACCCTTGTGATACCCACCCTCACTCGACCTGATCACCACTGGTGCTGGCAGCACAGAGTGTGTCTGTCCCCTCACTTCAGAGGCAGTGGAGGAGGGTAGACGGAGAAGGGACCCCTCTAGGGTATGGTCCTGGCAGGCCCTGCAGGATGTAAGGACCCCAATCCTTCTCTACCCCCATGTTATCCCGCTCATCATACACACATGTAATTGTGCACTGGGGCAGTGGCATCCCACTCCAGTACTCCTGCCTGGAAAGTGCCATGGACGGAGGAGCCTGGTAGGCTGCAGTCCCTAGGGTCGCGAAGAGTCGGACACGACTGAGCGACTTCACTTTCACTTTTCACTTTTATGCACTGGAGAAGGAAATGGGAACCCACTCCAGTGTTCTTGCCTGGAGAATTCCAGGGATGGGGTCGCACAGAGTCAGACCGAAGTGACTTAGCAGTAGCAGTATCCGTTGTTACACAGTAGATGTTTAATAATATATTTTAAATGAGTGAATGACTATATCCTGATTCTTGCTGTTAAAATTATATCATGATTACTTGGAAATGGTTCTGCAAACACATACACAAACACAATGATATAAATATGGCAAAATATTAATTGTTGAATCCAGCAATAGGTATTCAAGGTACTCACTTTTTGTCTATTTTCCCATTTGAAATTTTCCGTTATGAAACTTATTTTTGGTTTAAAATTTCTATGTCAATCAATTCCTATTATTATTTTCCTTGTAAATATATACTCATATAAATGCCTGATATAGTTAACCAATTCTCACTGTTGGATATTTAACTGTTTTTTTCTTTCTATTTCTGTTTAACTAGATTATTTTTCTATGTATTTTCCTATAAATAATGTGGTAAACATTCTTTTATGTAAATTTGGAACTATATCTCCGATTTGTTCTCAAAAACACATTTCTGAATGTAGGATTATTGGGGAAAGAAATGGACTATTTTTTTCAGAATCTTTTTTCCAAATTGCTTTCTAGAAAGATTGCATCCATTTATACTCCTCCAAAGGACATGAGTGGTATCCAGAGTCTCACTAGTATTTATTATCTTTCTTTTTAAATGTTAGTTTGGTTATTTTTTAAAAACAATGACTTCTTCTTAATTTGCACTTTTGGATTCTGATTGAGGCTAGACAGCATCCATTTGTGTTGTGGTCATTTATCGTCTGTGAACTGTCCAAGTGATAGCTTGCTCATTATGTCAGCTGTTTTCTTGTATATAGAGTGTCCTAGTCCTTCATTCTTTTTGTTTGTTTGTTTGTTTTTAAGTCCTGGGGTGCTTTGTCACTTGTTTATCTGACTGTGTTGGGTCTTAGTGGCAGCACATGGGGTCTTGGCTGCATCATTCATGGCCTTAAGTGTGGCGCCACAGGCTCTCTGGTTGCGGGGAGCGGGCTCAGTAGTTGCAGCACAGGAAGTCCAGAGCACGTTGGCTCCAGTAGCTCTGACACGTGGGCTCAGCAGTGGTGGTGCACGGGCTCGGCTGCACTGCAGTGTGTGGGATCTTAGTTCCCCAGTCAGGGGTGGAACCCATCTCCCCTGCATTGCAAGGTAGATTCTTAACCCCTGGACTACCAGGGATGTCCCAGTCCTTTATTCTCCTTGAAAACATTGTATCCCAGACCATCATTCCCCTTTTAATGTTGTCGATGGTATACGATGACACACAGAAGGTCTCAGGTCTATATGTGTGTGGTAAGAGATGTCCGCTTTCTCCCTTATTACCTCAACCTCAAACACAGCCAACTCTGACTGCTTACCGGAGGCAAGAGGGCCCAGTGGTTAAGAATACGTGCCACACACCTGGGATCAAATGCCAATTGTGCCCCCTGCTAAATGCCATGGGTGCATGCTAAGTTGCTTCAGTCATGTCCAACTCTTTGTGACCCCATGGACTATATAGCCCTCTAGGCTTCTCTGTCCATGGGATTCTCCATGCAAGCATACTGGAGTGGGTTGCCATTTCCTACTCCAGGGGATCTTCTCAACCCAGAGATTGAAACCACATCTCCTGCGTCTCCTGCACTGGCAGGCAGGTTCTTTACCACTAGTGCCACCTGGCCCTAAGCAAATTTCTTAATCTCACTGAGCCTCCACTTCTCATCTATAAAATGGGGATGATGAGATTATCTATCTCCTAGTGTTGTAAGGAGAAATGAACTATTGTTTATAAAGTGCTTAGAATAGTTCCTGATATATAGTAAATGCTACATAAATTTGGTTTTTCTTGTTACTTACTGCAGTGAACCTGTGAGTCTTAACATTTTGAAAGGATTTTGTTTGCAAAGCTGATATCTCATCAGTGAAAGAGAAAACTATGTTTGTCAAGCAGGGGATGTGCCCCGTTACAAACAAACCTAGGTCTATGTTATTTTAATTTGTACTTCAAAATACATCTCTCTTTTATTTTTGTTAGATGTTATTAAATTTAAACAAACTAATTATATGCCCAGACACTACTGTTCATCTCTGTCAGCTTATTCCATTTGGCATGGGACTTAAGCTTGTGACTAAAGATCCCAAGAAAGTGAACAGAAAATAAAAACTAGAAATACTCTTTAGTTTACGAGGTATTTGTTAAATTGCAGGCCTCTGATAGGTCAGGTACTGTGGATTCCATGCTGAGTAAGAATGGATACACGGTCCCCGGTGTGGGTCCCTGGAGTGGAACCATCCCATCCTGGTGAGGTGCCCACCTGGTTTAGAATCTGGAACAAGGATACATGGGACACATTCCCGGGTGTGGCAACAGGTGTCCAGTAACCTTGGCTGGGTTCTGACAACCTGGTTTCTCTCCACTGCTGCCTGTTTTCCCAGCCTGCTTCTCCAGCCTTTCCTGTGGACTTCAACAGCTTTCCCACTCCCTGTCTTTCCAACATATCCCATCTACTTTTATAGAGCCAGAGTCCATTTCTGAATTTGCAACCAATAACTGGTTCACACCTGTTAATGATTCCATTTCTAGAACTAACCTGAAGGAAGTCCCTTTGTTCCAACCGACCTACCAGCCCCCATAGACAATGAGGCCCTGGACCAGGTTTTCTTGTCAGTGATGCCATCATTGTGCTTTGTCTCTTTGGGTGAGTGACTTACCTCCTCTGGGCTTCACGTATAAGTGGAGGAGTGAGCCTGGATAACCTTAAAATGCTCCCTTCTCTGATGTCCTGTGGCCTTGGAGGCCTTTTCGCAGTCCAGTCCACAGAAATGGGATATCCTCCCCAGCCTTGCTTCCTTCCCTGATTTCAGCCCCACACTCTGGCCTTACCTCACCCAGATTCTTTGCCATATTAACCTCAAACTCTCTCCTTCCTGGGCATATGGATCCCATTTTTCCTTAGCCTAAGAGCCCTCACAGTTCAGGCAAAAGAAGCTTTTACTACCTACCAAGAGCGCCTAACACAGATACTGATTCTGAAGGTTGAATACTATTAGGCACTGATTTTAGATACCCATTGTAAGAACACTGAGAATCATCTGGTTTTTCTGTTCCTGCATCAGCTGCCCTTCTCCTGAAAGTTCTCCATGGGATTTGGGGGAACCCAGGACATGGCCCTGGGAGCTGCTGTCTGGGGTGGGCTGGGCCTCACTCTTAACAGCTTCACGAGTTGAGGATACAGAGCCTCTGGTTCCTAGAAAGGAGCTCCAGGTGGACCCTGACCTAGTGAGTCTCCCTGTAAAACCCAACCAGCACCCTGGGCACGCCGGCCACCTATAGGGAGGACGGGCTGTACTTTGTCTGACCGGATCTTCCTTCCTGTTTGCAGACCATGGGGGATGTGAAGCTGGCCGCCCAGACACACGTTTCCAAAACCTCCCTCACTGTGGATCACTCAAGAGTCAGCTCCATGCCCCTGACTGAGGCCCCTGCTTTCACTTTGCCCCCTCGGAACCTCTGCATCAAGGAAGGAGCCACAGCCAAGTTTGAAGGGAGGGTAAGCAGTGAGGCTGAGCGGCGGCTTGGGCGGGGAGTGTGGGGAGTGCGGTGGTGGAGGTGGGCGTGGTTGGGTGGGTGGGAGGTGGGGAAGTGGGCGTGGGCTGGGGGTTGCTTCTGTTCCAGCCTTCTCAGCAGCTGACATGGAGGAAGCCTGATTTCCTTTGGACCCTCATATAAAATGAATACAAGTCCATTGGCCCTATTTCTTTTGTTTAGAGTTGACTTTGGGTTGTGTTGGAGAATTGGGGGTTGGGGAGGGACAGTGAGATGTTTTGCTATTTATGCAAGTCATGTTCTGGTTCGTGCACCTGATTATAGAAGAAGGGCAGGGTGATGGCAGGAAGTGTACAACTTGGATTTAAATGTGTGTGTTAGTCGCTCAGTTGTATCCGAATCTTTGCGACCCCATGGACTGTAGCCAGCCAGACTCCTCTGTCCATGGAATTTTCCAGCCAAGAATACTGGAGTGGGTTTCTATTCCTTTTTCCAGGAGCTCTTCCCCACCCAAGATCGAATCTGGGTCTCCTTCATTGCAGTGAATTCTTTACCATCTGAACCATCACTTTAAAGATGTGCCCTCAAATCTGGACAGTGAAAAATGAACTCTCATTTTTCTCTTACTTCCTACCTGGAAGGAGTGTTTGGTTAATAACCTCTTGTGTATCCATCTGGTACATCCAAAGCAATGGGGTAGGAGAGAGTACTCCTCATTTCAGTTTTGACACCTTTTGCTAATAAGTATTGGTCTCTTGCCCTTACTGGGCATCCATTTCTTCCTCTGCAAACAGACAATAATATTTCCTTGTCCACCTTGTACTAAAAAGGAGAAGAAGATGGGAAGACTATCAGTAAGAACATTGAGGTTATGCCCAGCTGGTCAGACCATTAGTAAGCTGCTGGCTCAAGCCACCAGGAAGTCAGATCATCAGCTTGACTTGGAGATGCACATGGAAGTCAGAAGGTTTGCAAGTAATATTTGTCCTAGATTAAACACAGGCAGTCTTCCCCAAGAAATGCTTTAGAAGCTGGAAGGCTTTGATCTGAGCAAAAGACAGTTGAGGTGATGAACTCACAGGTTGCACTTTGAGTCTACAAGTTAAGTCTGTGGATGGAAGGGGTCAAGAGCATCACTCTTCCTGGATGTTGCTGGGCCTTGCCTTTGTTTAAGTGGCAGGTTTGGCTGTGTGGTCATCTGTAGAGTATTCAGGGGCTATGTTATATGCTCTATACAGGCCTGTCTAGTTAACTGCTGGTAGATCTGACGTTCCTTGTCATATTGTATCTTTTACTTAAAGAAGGGGAATGTTGGTGATGCTACTGAGGGGTCACCTCTTCTCTCTGGGCTCTATCAGCATGAGTGTTCTTTTATGTTGCTCTGACTGTGGTCCCCCATCCTCCCATGCCCATAACTGTCAGGAAAGAAGCAACAGGAAGAGTCTCTGGGGATTTAGAAACATGAGTGAAGTTTTAATATATGATACAACATGATGAACACTGAGAATGAGCCTGTTAAATGAAAGAAGCCAGACACAGAAGACCACATGTCGAATGATTCCATGTATCTGAAATGTCCAGAACAGACAAACGTATGGCAACAGAAAGTAGATGAGTGGTTGCTGATGGCTAGGGAGGAAGAGTGGGGAGTGACTGCTGAAGGGTGCAGAGTTTCTTTTGGGGATGATGAAAATGTTCTGAAACTAGGTATTAGTCATGGTTGCACATGGTTGCATATGGTTGCACATGTTTGGATGGCATTATCAACTCAGTGGACTTGAGTTTGAGCAAACTCTGGGAGATAGTGGGCTTCCCTTGTGGCTCAGCTGGTAAAAAGTCCACCTGTAATGAGGGAGACCTGTGTTTGATCCCTGGATTGGAAAGATCCCCTGGAGAAGGGAAAGGCTACACACTCCAGTATTCTGGCCTGGAGAATTCCAAGGACTGTATAGTCCATGGGGTCACAAAGAGTTGGACACAACTGAGCAACTGAACAACATGGTTTCATGACTTTTGAATATGTTATAGAATACTGGATTTACACTTAAAAAATTAAAAGTGAACTTTGGAAAAAAATGGCTTGTCAAAATTGATCCATATCCACCCTCCTACCCTATTGTTTGTCAGAGATGAATTCCTCCTTCAAATTAATACAAACTGTGGAGAGTAAGAGATGACCTAGCCTCTATAGATGGAGAGGTGTTGTTTTGTTTGCTGATTGTGGAGGTCATGAAGGAGCTGAGCCTTTGGGCTATTTGAGTTGGAACCTTTGTAGAATGAACACTGACCCAGGAGTCCACACATTGGAGTTCTCTGTTGCTCAGTTATTCTCAGATTGGCAGGTCAGACCTTCTCTGGACCTTGGTTACCTTATCTGAGAAGAAACAACTAGTTGTTTCTGTATAGATGTGAAAAGAAAACAAATTGAGGAAGAAAATGGTAAAAGCAGTTCATAAAGTAAAAAAGTATAGTAGTAACAGTATTTTTTTTTAATGAGGTAACATTAAAATATGTAAATTTGACTATCTTAAACAATTCAATGGCATTTCATACATTCATGATGCTGATTGCAGTATTCTTAAAGCAGAGCATTCTCTAGGTGAACATTTTATTCTGCTGATATTGAGGAAATAGTTGACTTTGTATATTACATGTGGGCTGTAGGTCAAAGTGAGTGTGTTTCTTAGAAGTCAGTCTGTGGAGCTCGGTTACCACTCATCAACTCCCTGGAATTAACCCAGAGCAACACTATGACAGCATGCTGGTGCATAGTGGACACAGAAGGAAGAAGATTCCAGAGAGATGTTAGGTGGAGTGTCTGGGCTCCATCTGAGAACTTCCAGAGAAAAACACAGAGGGAAGGTCTTTCATAGAAAGTGCTTTATAAACTAGCATGTTGTGAATGTGTATTATCACTGTAGCAAAGGACACAAAGGAATGCCTTGCATCAAGGTAGAGCCATGTCAAATGACTTCAGAATGAGGAAGTGGTTGTTTGGATACCAAAATGCAGTTGCGCAGTGGATGCACCTGATCTGGCATGAGGGAAGGGAAAGGTAGAGTCTGAGTGACACGAGCTTAGAGCAGGAATTTTCTGTTTTAAAAGACTGAGTGCCAAATGGGGTCACCTCCTCATATCCTTTAGGCTTTTTCCACGTTGTGGCAGATACTTGGGGCCAACATGTAGCCCACAGCCAGCCCCCTTCGCCCTTCCCTTTTCTGCTCTAGGGGCACTGCACAGTTTGCCTTTGCAGCTAAGAGCGGCTCAGTGACACATTTGGCTGAAGTTTGCTTGCATATTTTTGGTAAAACTCTCTCTTTTCTGATCAAAACAAATCACTGGTTCTCTCATATTCCACCTCACCCTTGCTTTCTATCTTAACTGCTGATTTGATGCCTGGAGCTCAGGCAGTCATATTGAAGCTATGAGGGAACAAACCAGAATACAAAGAGTTGGTCAGTGTGGGCATGAGCAATGTGCATGGGAGTGGAGGGCACAGCAGTGGAGGGAGCACAAAGACCAGCAGCTAAGACACAAAAGCCCTAAGGCTTAGAGAGTTTCCCGGATAGGATCTTTGACTGTGGTCATTCACACAGGAAATTTTACCGAAAGTGTTCCTAACACCTAATGAGATGCACGTGGAGATACTGTCTCTTTAAATGATGGGAATAAATAGGGGAGAAGACATAGCACGGAAAAGAACCAAAAAACCCTTTCAAGTCCTTACCAAATCTACCAACAGTGAGGGGAGTGCTTGAGTTGAATGTGCCCTGCAGATAAAGCATCCCAGAGGGATTTGCTCCTCCCTGGCTGTGGCCATCTGGCTTGAACCAACAGGGTCTAAGGCCTCTTAAGAGGAAGTCAACCAGATGGTGTTACGTGATGATTTAATGTCATTATAGAAAACTACTGTTTGATCAGGGTCTACTGCTTAGGCCAAAGCTACCTACCCCCTCCTCTTTCTTTGTTGGCTCTGCCAGCTTAAGAAGATTGTATTTTCCTAGAACTCATTCAACTTTGGATCCATACCTCATCAGTACCACATTTAGACAACCTGAACCCACATTCTAGAAACCTGTTTCGTCATCTGGCCACACTGTCACATAAGAGCAGGGCATCTTGTCTGCCCAAGAGATGTACCCAGTGGAACCACACCAACACCCATGTTCTGAGCATCCAGAACTCTGAAATTATCTACCAAAGGGCCCTGAGCCCACTTCTGATGACATCATGGGGCTTTTCCCGTGAGAAGACTTTCCTGGGACTGAATGGGGTGATGGTCAAGGACAGCAGTTTGCTTAGGGAACTAAAAAGGTAGATGAAACTCAGATGTGGGGATCTGTTGTCCACCCATGGGCATAGGAGGACCCAACAGTGCAGATGCAAGTAGGGTGTGGTGTGCCACTGCCTGCTGAGTGTTACTGGGCCCAGCGTGTGGGGGGCCTCCATGGACAGGTAACTGGGTGCCTGCACATGCCAGGGGCTCACTGAAATGCTTCCTCCTGTTCTGTTGCCCATGAGGGCAGCCATGGGCTGCCTGCTTCCCCCGGATAGAGTCAAGTATGAAAGGAGCGAGATGGTAGGAGAAAATGCTGGAATTACTGGAGATTTCTCCCCTTTTGCCCTGGAATTCATTCTTATCAGACAAAGCAAACATGTTGCTAGGCCCTGGCTGTGCTGTGAATCAAATGAGCTGGTATTTGAGTGACTCTTGAAGTACAGCCCAAATGAGGTTTCAGTCCAGACTGAGGGGTTCAGTGTTCACTGAAGGGGTTTCACAATAAAGGGCTGGCCTGGCCTCATCATGGAGGGTGGAGGAAGGGACCAGAGAAGACTTGATCCATGAAAACGTGAATAACTCCTCAGTTTCTACTTTAACCAACAGTGGTATCCTTCCCCCATTAACTTCTTCCCAGTTCACTTCTAACTCAGAGGCGCTCAACCACTTAGAGAAATTTGAAGGGAGCATCTAGTCTGCTTTCTGTCCTCAAAAATCTTTTTTTG